GCTTACAAAGACCCGGAGTCACGTTGCTCAGAGCGACCTGCCCAGTAGTCGGGTTTTATCTTGACGTTATCTGAAAGGAAAAGGCCCAGAACTGAGATCAGTCATCAGCAGCAGCCAGCAGAGCTCATTATGAGTCATCCAGGTTCAACATGGCCCGGCCTGTACGCGCTGCCTTTCTGCCACTCCAAGCACAATCAGGCTCCAGAATAAACAGCTGTCGTGTCAAACATTAACTCCTCCACTTGTGTGTGTGTGTTTTTAAATATATTTTTACTTTGCCTTATAAGTGCCACTTTCAAATCTCTACTTTTTCATTATTTGCTTATTTATTTTTTGGTGATTTATGGGTCATTTCGGCTTCTGTCCTTTTTACTCTTTGTGCTGCTGTYCTGCACCAACAATAGCTGCTCGCCGCGCTCTCGCCATGGTCGTTTGCGCGCGCAAGTGGTCAGTCCAGACAAGAAAAGAAGGGGGGAAAAAAAAGAATGCACAAAAATAAATGATTTAAAAAGCGCCCGCCAGACTGCATCCCCCCCATAATTCAGCTCGAGCATCATGTTAAGGAGGCTCATTTTTTGCTTCAGACTCGGAAAGTTTGKCCAGAGGCTCTTTCTCTGAGGGTCAGGATCAGATCTCGACCCCCCCATGTTTGTTCTGGTGACTGAATGATGGAGCCAAGAGGAGAGACAGGGCGCGTTCCGCGGCCTCTCTCTCTCTCTCTCTCCCTCTGCGCGTGAAGTTTGGCTAAAGCTGGGAGCCAAACAAGCTCGTGCTTCAGCTGTAAATTTAGATCTAATAACACGAGCTCAAATATGAAACAACGGGCTGCTGAGAGGCAGCACGTGCTGAGAGCTGTCAAAACATAACAGCCAATATGTCTCTGTGGTCCAAGCTTGGGAACCACAGGGCGGTCTGACTTTGACTGCTCCATAGTTTAGTTTGGCGGCAGAAAAATATAAAAGGAGACTCTGAGCCAACGCTTTAAGTTACCCAAGGCTATACAGCGRGTTCTAACAGAGCAGGTTCGGCCCGGTTCTGCAGCAGAACTAAAATAAAAGTTGCATTAAGAGGCCTGCGAGCGGCAGGGACATTTATTTATTGTCAGGAGGAAAAGCAGCAAACATAAAGAGAAGTTTCACTTTATAATGATGAATTTTACAGTTAATCTTATTATTTGAGATTTTTTACAATAAAAGTATAAAAACATTGAGTTATATTAAATTAAAACCTTTATTATAATAATAATTATTATTTTATCATTATTATAAAACGTTTATATAACGTTAAAAAGTATGTTTTTAAAGCTCCAGCATCAAATGTGTCCGATTTTTACAATATAAAGGAAACACTTTCTATAGGAAACATTAAAAAATATATATTTTTTACGAGTGTTGTTACAACAGCAAAACAGCCGTGGGATGTAGGTTATAAAAATTATTATCATTATTACAGAAACAGGGAAAATGTTTCATTATCTTTCCAAAACATTTTTGTCTTAGAGTGATGGATCTCTACAAATACGTTTGTTGAAGAAAAAATAAAATTACACATTCCTCATRAAACCTACATAAAACCGTGACGCTTTTATTTTGTTTTCTTTATAAATCTTGTTTTAAAACATGTAATTTCATGGCGCTACTTGCGCTTGTTTAAATGTTTTGAATTCGTTTTAAAGGTAAATTCAATCGTTCATCAGGCTAAAATTGTAAACCCTAAGCTTTACACGCTTTTATTTGCTTTGTATATATTTTAAAAATATTGAATACAGTTGAGTGAATTGTGATTTGTTTTGTTATCCTGACAAGTGAAGTGAAATTAATACCAGGAGTCTCAAACAGCTAAAATATATGTTTATTAAACATTTATTTTAAAACTAATATAAATAGTTGTTCTTGTAAATGAGAAGGCCAGACAGAGAAATTGCAAACATCTTCAAATTATGACCTACTTTTGCGTAATTGTTTAGACAAACACGGACAGAAACTAAATAATTTCTGCGACTTCCTCAATAAAGATAGAAGCAAACTGAAGAAGCTTTTGTTTATTCAGAAAAATAGCCTTTCCCCCCACACAACTGGAGAAACCAACAGATTCACGTTAAGGCCCTCTGCAACAAAGCCTCGTGAAGTTTCCTGCAAATCACTTCCGGTTTGACTTGTGCGCTTAAGCCTTTATTTTAAACCATAATTACAATAAGAAAAGATGGAAATCCAAATGTTTTTTTTAAATCTGCACATGGTCAGAAAGCGTGGCACAAAGCGGGACAAAGAGAAAAACTGATGACACC